TACAAAGAAGAGCCCAGGCCCAGATGGATTCACTACAGAATTCTACAAGAAATACAAAGAAGACCTAATGCCAACACTCCTCAAACTATTCAATGAAATTGAAAGGGAAGTAATCCTTCCTAAGTCATTCCTGGAAGCAAATATTACTCTAGTACCAAAACCTGAGAAAGACCCAACTTAAAAAGAGAATTATAGACCAATCTCCCTAATGAACACAGATGCAAAAATCCTCAATAAAATATCAGCAAATAGGATGCAGCAAATCATCAAGAAGATTATACACCATGACCAAGTGGGATTCATCCCAGGCATGCAAGGATGGTTCAACATATGTAAATCAATAAATGTAATCCACCATATCAATAAAGCCAAAAGTAAGAATCACATGATCATTTCTATAGACACAGAAAAAGCTTTTGATAAGGTCCAACATTCATTCATGATAAGAACTTTATAGAAAATTGGAATAGATGGTCTTTACTTCAATATAATAAAGGCCGTTTATGACAAACCAACAGCCAGTATCATACTAAATGGCCAAAAATTGAAGGCCTTTACTTTAAAATCAGGCACAAGAAAAGGATGTCCTTTATCACCACTCCTATTTAATATAGTACTGGAAGTACTAGCCAGAGTAATTAGACAAGAGAGAGAAACAAAAGTGGTAAAGATAGGAAAAGAAGAAGTTAAATTATCATTGTTTGCAGATGACATGGTACTCTACATAGAAGACCCCCTAAACTCCATTGAAAGACTCTTAGAGATAATAAATAAATTCAGTAGTGTAGTTGGATACAAAATCAGTACTCAGAAATCAATAGCATTCCTGTACACTAACAACAAAACCACAGAGAGAGAAATAAGAGAAGCCACACTCTTCATACTAGCAACCGAAAAAATAAAATATTTAGGAATTACTCTTACAAAAGAAGTGAAAGACCGATACAGGGAAAATTATAATACACTGAAAAAGGAAATTGAAGATGATCTCAGAAAATGGAAAGACATCCCTTGCTCATGGATAGGAAGAACAAACATTGTGAAGATGGCCATTCTCCCAAAACTCTTATACAGATTCAATGTAATCCCAATAAAAAATACCATCAACATACCTTATAGATCTAGAGAAATCACTCCTAAAATTCATCTGGAACCAGAAGAGACCTAGAATACCAAAGGCAATTCTAAGCAGCAAAGGCAAGGCAGGAGACATCACAATCCCTGACTTGAAGTTATACTACAAAGCAACAATAGTAAAATCAACATGGTACTGGAATCAGAACAGAGCCGAAGATCAATGGAATAGATTAGAAGATACAACCACAACTACAACCACACTCAACCACCTTATCTTTGATAAAGAGGCCAAACATGTTCACTGGAAGAACGACAGTCTCTTTAATAAATGGTGTTGGAAAAACTGGCTCTCCATTTGCCGAAAACTAAAACTAGACCCATGCCTATCACCATGTACTAAATTAAAATCTAAATGGATCAAAGATCTGAATATTAAAACAGAAACACTAAATCTATCGGAAGACAAATTGGGTAGAAACCTTGAAGACGTAGGGGTAGGTAGAGAATTCATGAACAGGACTCAAACCACATGGGAAATACTTCCCAGAATCAGTAACTGGGACCATCTCTTATTAAAATGTTTCTGCATGTCAAAAAAAATCTCAAGCATAGTGAAAAGAAAACCCAAAAACTGGGAAAAGATCTTAGTGAACTCCCCCTCAGACAAGGGACTTTTGTCTAAAACATATAAAGAGTAAAAAAAAAAACTCAGACTCTCAAAATTTAAAGATCCAATCCAAAAACGGGCATCTGAGATGAATACACACTTCTCAGATGAAGAAATACAAATGGCAAATAAATACATGAAAAAATGTTCATCATCATTAGTCATTAGAGAAATGCAAATTAAAACCACATTGAGATTCCATCTCACTCTTGAAAGAATGGACAGGATCAAGAAAACCAACAACAACAAATGCTGGAGAGGCTGTGGGGAAAAAGGAACTCTCCTGCACTGCTGGTGGGAGTGTAGACTGGTACAACCTTTGTGGAGGTCAGTCTGGAGATTTCTCAAAAAGCTGGGATTGGAAGACCCATTTGTTCCAGCTATTCCACTTCTAGGCATCATACCACAGTAATATATGCGCACCTATGTTCATAGCAGCACAATTTGTAATCGCCAGATCTTGGAAACAACCCAAGTGTCCATCAACTGAGGAATGGATAAAAAAGTTGTGGTATTTTTATATAATGGAATACTACTCAGCTATAAAGAAGGATCACATTGAGATACTTATAAATAAATGGGTGCAGCTTGAGACCATACTCATAAATGAAATAAATCAAATTCACATGGGTGAATACCAAATAGTTTCTCTAGTGTAAGAAATGATTCAAATATATAAAAGTATGTGGTAATCATGATTCCCCATTATGTGGCCTTGAAGCCTTATGAAGTTTTCACTCATTAATTGGAATGGCCTTACTCTGGGCTGCTTGATATTATTACCTGTGATGAAATGAACAGCTATTTTGAAGAAAACAAGACATCATAATAGCTTGTGCTGATTTAACATCATCTTGTTTTGAAGCCCCACCAAACTATTGCTTTTCTGTCTCCATTGGTTTTATCATGTTGTATCTTGCTGGATTTTATTATATGTGAGAGTATAAACAAAAATTGTTACAGGCAAAGAGATAATATAGAAACCATCGTTTGTTTTCTGTTAGCTGGTTCTAAATACCCTGTAATACTTTCATCCACTTGAATGGTTTCACACTGTCTTGATATGTTTGATACTATAGTATACGAAGTTATATTCAAATATTTCAAGGAAAAAGACACTATGGTAACTACTATTAAGTCGGATTATTTGGTGGTGAATCACTAGGTTGTCATGATTTGACCTGTATTGTTATGTTGTTATGTCCTCTTTTATCTCAATCTCTCCCTTATTCATTAAAAAAATTCTTTAGTTTATTATTATTATTATTAAATTTTATTTAAGGAGAAAAAGAAAAGAAACAGAAAAAGGGTACAAGTAATACAAAATTTAAAAAATAAACAGTAAGAAATATTACATATTCTCATACATATTCTCATCTTAGAAATAGTTGTTCAAGTTACAAAATTGAAGCATATAAAGTGGACTTTCAAACAGTGAGACTGCAAACAGTTCTGTTCAATGATCCAACAAAACTTAGTAATATGGTTATCAATCTTATATACTTAAACATATATGCAGTTATAACCTTTAGAGCACTTTCTTTTCTTTTCTTTTGTACAATGACAATTACACATTTTGGGTTTTATTACTCCCACAGTTCTTATTACTTTTTTTGAAGAGAGTAAAACCAAATGTGACATATCAGAACAAAGTCAGTCAAATCAAAAGCATGGACATAATAGATACTGTAAAATCAAAATACAAGGGATTTTTAAATTATTTTTTAATTAAGGGGAAAAATTTAAAAAATTAGCAGGATATATTATTGTAACTTTTTTGATTTCCTATTAACTTGAAGTCCTGTATTACTCCCACTATCTTGTTTTGACTGATTAGACTCTGTTCCGTTCTGTATGATAGTATCAAGTTTGAGGGGATAGGCAGCTACTTTGAAGGCAATAAGATTCACTAGGATGCCCATTCTGGTTTGACTATTGTCTCCTTTGGAAGTCCTGTAATGTTTACAATGCCTAGGTTTTATTGGTCTTGTTCTCTACTGTTTTGTCCAACTTTATAATATCTAATGAGATACACAATTCTTTTTAAGGAAACAAGAGACAACGTTGATAATCATTGTTGATAACCTTGTACTCTGTTCTACATCATGTGCTATGTCTATCCTTGGTTTTGACTGACAGCTTTGTTTTGTCATATTTGGTTTTATTTTCTTCCCAAAAAAGGTAATAAGAACTATGGGAGTAATAAAACCCAAACTCTGTAAATTTTGTTTTAAAAAAGACAGGGGAAAAAAGTGCTCTAAAGGATACAACTGCAAGTGTGTCTAGGTGTGTTAGGATAGATGACCATACTACTGAGTTTGTGTTGGATCATTGAACACAACTCTTTGTAGTCTCACTGTTTGAATGTCCACTTTGTATGCTTTGATCCTGTGACTTGAACAACTATTTCTAAGATGACAATGTGTAATCTATTAATTGGTGATTTCTTACTGTTTTTTTTTTTTTTTTTTTGTAGTTCTGTATTACTTGTACCCTTACACAGGGTACACAGTTTTGTTTTATTTTTTTTTCTTCTTTTTCCTTTTAAATAAAATTTAAAAATAAAATAAAATAAAGTTTCCTCTACCAGATAAATTATCCCACTTCCCTTAAGTCCCCTGCAGAGTCTCAGGACACAGGCAAAATGTAGACAGATTTTCTGCCACAGTATAACCCACATGACCTGTAGTCCAAATGCAACGAAATCTCTGCTCCCAGCTGAACCTCTGAGCCTGGTTTTCATGGCGTGCACTCCTATCAGCAATGCTCTTCTGCGTTCTGAGCAGACATACCCAGCTGCTCTGCTTTCAGCACTGTAAGGCTCCTCTACATGGCACCTGCAACCTTTTCCAAACAACTTCTTGCCAATCAGTTCCGAAGGCTTCTGAACCACATGCTCGGGTGTAATCACAGCAACAACCTTACTCAGGTACAGTTTTCTGTGTTAGAGACATAATACCTGATACCTGTAATTTAAAGAAAAGGTTTAATGTGGCTCAGTTTCAAGAGATCCAGTCCCTGGCCATCAGGGTTCAAGGCAGAAACCTCACAGCTGGAAAGAAATGGGGGCCGGAGCTGCTTACCTTATGGATGATCGAGCGTCAGAACACGGGAACAGGGAGAAAAGGGTTAGGACCCACAGATGGTGTCAGAGGTCACAACTCCATGACCCACCCACACACACCCAGGGGCTGCTTTACTAATCTACTAGGCAGTTTCTTAATGAATGAAGCTGACAGATCAGGACTACGTCACGGTGATTTACAATTATACAATTTTTATTTCTTTATTTTACAGTTTCCAGCTAAGAATGTGTCTTGAGTCTCAGAAAAGACTTGGACTTGAGCTCTTGAAAAATTTTGACGCTTTTGGGTCTTTGGGGAGGCGATCACTACATTTTTGGTTGCGTGCGTGGTAGCTGTAGCATGTCAAGCATAACTATGAGCTCACTATTGTTTCTACTTAGAAGTTAAGGATGATTGAAGGGAATGTCTGCCTGTCAAGGTGAGAGGGGTAAATTGTGCTGGTTAACCACGATCCATCCACCCAACTGCGTTAAGAAATTACCAGGGATTCATCAATGGATGAGTACACTATGCTCACCATCCCCCATCATCCAGCTGCCTTCTGCCCACTGGAGACTTGTGATGGACATTTCAGATCTAAACCACACCACCCAGGAAGCCTCATCTGTCTCACCTAGCTCTAATTTAATCATCCCTAGAAAAAGCACAGAAATTGAAGATCTGAAGATACAAAGCAGACATAGATTTGACTGCTATGAACTGAATCTCTTGGAGCTGTGGGCCGAACTAAACTTTTCCTTAATTGTGGATACTGGACATGGTCATCTTTTAGGACATTAGGAAGACATCTGATATTACTGGCTCATCAAATATACGGCATTGCCCACTCTGATTGTCCCTGGATTTTGCAGAGCAAAGTACTGTCCAAAGAGCGGTAACTGTCCGTATAGCTTCTTTTCCGAAGGGTCACACTGGCGGTAACTGCAATAGGAAGGAGAAAGCTTTGTGGGTCATAGCAGACAGTCACAAGCCCAAAAGGAAGGCAGTGCTCACTGGCTGAGGCACGGTCTACCCGTACTGGGGGCAACACGCCCAGCCCAGTCACCAGATGCTGCCTCTCAGGCTGGCCAGCCAACCATCCGGCCAGGTGCAGCCCCAGGAGAGCAGCCCGGCCGCATCCCCACGGCGTCTCTGCAGGAACGTTACCTTGTCGGCATCAGAAGACGGTTCATGTGCACAGACAGACCTGACCACTTTCCAGCCCCGGCGGCGTCCTCCGCCCGACCCCTCCACGGACATCACTTGGCCTAGGTCCTGCCAGTACCTGGGCATGGTACGCTGCGCCCGTGCCCGGCTTCCCTGGCTTGTCCCCGCTGCCCCTTCCTGCGCAGTGTCCCTTGGCTTCCCTCGCTGTTTCTAATGCTGCCTTTCTCGCTCTTTCTCCCAGCACTCTCAGAACTGCAGGGGAGGAAATGTCAACAACCAACAACTTCCTCATAAACCTCGCATCGCCCTCCGCACGCTGCCCTTCAAATCCCGTCCACGCTTTCTCCATCTGGTTCGGGCCTTGCCACGCCCAGGCTCCTCGGCCTCCAGTAGCTCCTGGGCGCCAGAGAAGCCCATTTGCACGCTTCGGCCCGCTGTGGAGACTGGCTGCCGGGCTCCCACCATGCCAGACCCCGCAGGCCGCTCCGCTCTGTACCGAGGCCGCAGCGCTGGGCCACCTCGCCGTGTCCTCAGCTCTGATTCCTGCGGGCCCCTCCTCGGGCCTCACCAGTCCAGCTTTCCCTCCAGACACAAACACCATGTGCCCAAGAGCCGGAGCCCAGGCCAGGAGTTTCTCTTCCCTGTCAGGGCTCTGCGGCTCCTCGGGGTGCCGGGGCACAAGCCTCTCTGCCCTGCAAGACAGGCAGCCCCGGGCGCAGAGCCCTGTCCCACTCCCTCATCCCGCTCTCGCCAGTGATGGCACTTTCACCCGTGACCACGGCTGCCAACTGATTGGATGGGCGAGGGACACCCTCTGTGGAAGTCTCTCTGCCAGGCAGAAAACTGAGGCGCGCAGGAAGGAAGTACAGGCACGCGTGGGGACAGCACGGCCAGCCCTGCACCCCAGTCTTACGTCACAGTTACACTTAGAACACTCTTATTGGAATCTCTGACTTTGTCCTACGTGGCGCTTCACAGAGAAAGTTAAAAAAGAACTATTGGAACAGCTTGGACCGGCCTTCTCCGAATGAGAACCGCTCTGGGCCAATCTGGAAGCCCCTCACTGGGTCCCCCACCCCCGCAAGGGGTCCGCTGCCTCTCGGAGAAACGCAGTTGGACAAATGAATGGATTTTTAAAAATGAACACTGGGGCCGCTCCTCTGTACCAGGTGGGGCCCAGCCCAGCCCAGAGGGGCTCACAGGCGCCGGGCACTGGGCGTTGGCGGGGCTCCTGGCTGTTCCCGCGGCCGGTCCCAGCTCTGCGCTCCTGGGCTGGAGGCTCCTATGCGGGGCGAGCGTGGCACGCGCTCCCACCCTCCACGCGCTGGTGCTCACTGCGGTCCGCGTGTCTCCGGAGCTGCCCTACTGTCCTGCCTGCCTGAGATCCCGGATCTAGGCGCTAGGCTGACCCTGCACCGGGTTTCCTGGTCACCTGCCTTCTTCCCGAGTCCCCATGGCCCCCCTCTGGGTTACCCTAAAGCTACAGAACCATTGCTGTGTCCCCTGGGCTGCAGGAGCCGTCCACACTGCTGTCTGCGGGAGTGGAGACCTGGGCCCCGGCTGAGGCCCAGGCTGTGAGGCTGCAGGGTCGCAATGCCCCTAAGTACTCCCCCTGCACCGCCCGCACCACGGCAAGCCCGGAAAGACCCGGCAAGGCCACTGGCAACCCCTTGTGGGAAAGAGAAGGTACTGCAAGCAGCCTGCTGACTCATGGCTCGGGACCTAAAACCCTACGGCTCCCCGGCTCTCGCACTCCTGGGCTTTGTGGCCATTTTTTTTTTTTTTTTTTAGGACATAAAATATAGTATCCTATGGGAATAATTCCCTCTGGGAATTATTAAATTAATATTTTTTGTCTTTTTGAGAGAGGTTCTCACTATGCAGTTCAGGCTGGTCTTGAACTCGCAGCCATCCTCCTGCCTTAGCCTTCCAAGTGCTGGCATTACAGGCCTGCGCCACCACGCCCAGCTAGATTACAAATTATTTTAAAGCAGACTTTCGTAGTGCATCTCCTTTCAGGGAATGCCAGGGCTCCAGAGTGAGCACTGGCCAAGCTCAGTGCAGGCCCCGGCTCCCCGCACCCTGCACTGCAAAGCAAACCACACTGTAAACGCAGCAGCAGAGCTCCTTGCGCCCACAGGGATAGGGCTCTGCACTCCCTGTGCACCCATTCATCAGCCACCAGGCCACTGCATAAGCAGCAGGAGGCCCTGGTTAAGGATTGAGCAGCAGCGGGACCCCAGTGAGTGTCACACCAACCCCCCACCCCAACACGCACACACGGGCTCTCACGGCTGCCCTCACACTGAGCATGGCTGTCAGTGCGGTCACCGCCTCTCCTACCTCCTCAGGGTCTCCAGTGGTTCCTTTCTGTTCATGACGCCCGTGTCTGGGTCCACAGTGGTGAGGATACACCTACAGCACAACGAGTGTCAGCCAGGGACAGCAGCGTGGCCCTGTGTGCCGCCCCACAGGGACAGGAAGGAGCTTACCTGGAGCAGGCCATCACTCTTCTCAGCCGCACATCCCCAACCAGGACCTCGTCCCAGGAGTCCTAGAGGAAGAGGCACAATGCTCGGGCCTCACCCGATGCAGCCCTGGGGACCTCCTACTCCCCCGAGCCCACACTCAGGCTCACAGCATCTTCCCATCCGCACCCGGGGTTGAACTCACAGCCTGCATACTGAGCCACGTCCTCAGCCCTTCTGCATCTTGAATTTTGAGATAGGGTCTTGTTTAGTTACAAAATTGCCCAGGCAGGATTTCAGCTTACAATTCTCCTGCCTCGCCTCCACCTCTCCAGCAGCAATTCCTATCTTTTCAAGGACCACTCTGACTCTCCAGCGGAGTCTCAAGGAGGTGCACACAGGTAAGGACCCCTTTCCAGCCCTCCACCTCTGCTTTCTGTACACAGACATGGGTGCTACCAGAACCCCTGATCCCTCCCAAGGGACAGTGTCAAGTGTCTGTAGCTGGTGGCTGCTCACCAAGCCTCAGGGCCACTAGCTGTGCCCTGAGAGAGAGAAAATCCAATTAAATATGAGTGACTGTTACAAAGGTCAGAGTCCCCTTTGAATCCTGTGTCACATCCACAACAAGCACCAGCCTCCGGCTCCTCAGCCACAGGGCAGACACCAAGGGCAGTCCAGGCAGTGCCGGGACCACCTGGGGCCACTGAGGTCAGTTCCTCTGACTGTGCGAGTTTCTCCAGGGCGCTGCCTACTGACCACAGGGTCCACACTCAGCAAACCCAGCTCAGAAGCCTCTTGGGAAGCCTCAGCCCCCATACCCCTCTGTGAGGACGGTGGGCCTGCCTCTCTTGTGTACCCCACTGGTGCGTCTGCACTTCTCAAGGGTCCCCACAATGTGGGACAGAGAAGAGACAACGTACACTTCGGAATAATCAAAGGTCTTCACACTTTAAGAAAGAAGTCAAATCTAAGCAAAGAAGCAGCAAGGGCAAAACGGCACCTCTGCAAAGGCGCTGCATCCGGAGACGACAATGTTGGGCCGGAAGTTAGATGCTTTCACTTTCTTCGCCAGCCTGGAGTTCAGATCCACCAGAGAGGCCTCAGAAAGGACCAGGAATGGGCTGGCATCCGAGTAGGCGACCTGGCAGGGACAGACACGGTCACAGGGCATGTCCCAAAATGTCTTTGGGCATCTACGTGTCCCCGGACCCATCCACCTCCACAACCACAGCTTTCTAGGTGTTTCTGTATGTCTTTTCGTGGAAAAGTCACAGTGGTTGGGAACCTTAGCATACCAGCCTTCACACTTGCGTAGAGGGTAAAGAGAGCCCAGCCTTGGCATCCCAAGCTGCCCCACATGTGCCCCTGGGGACACTGCCTCACCTGGCCAAGCCCCCACTTGCTCTGGTGTGTAACCAACTGGTCAGGTTTGACCACCTAATGGAGTAAAATATTCCCTAGCTCCACCCACAGGGACTATTTTTGGGGCAACAAGCTAATGCCAAGTACTTACGTTGATCATATTTGTTTTAGGGTATTGGGGACTGATCCCAGGGCCTTCACACTGTGCTATATCCACATCGCTTTTCCTTATTCTTTGAGACTAGATTGTCCAACTGGGCTCAAACTTGTGGTGCTCCTGCCCTCGGCCTCCCGGGTGTGGGGATGGCAGGTGTGTGCTGCTTTACCTGGCTTGACCCCAATTGTTTTAAAGGTAGTAATAGCACATGGTGCACACGCCCTACTGGTGAGGTGAGGCCCACAGCCTCCTTCCCTTAAGCACCAGCCTGGTCATCCGGACCCCACGTCTCTCCCCGCCCACCAGCTGCACCACTGTGCCGTGACGTGCACTTGTATGCTGTCAAGTGTCAGGGACACCACAGTTCCCGACGAAGTGGAGATTGCAGAACAGTTCTGAACCACTCTTGGCACCAGCATGCACCAGGGTCCCCCCAAAAGGAGAAGCAGCATGCCGTCCCGTGGGAAGGGCTCTGTGCCCCCCGCCTGGAGAACCACAGCGCCACCACGCTCCCAGGGATGCCTCCGTGTCCGCAGTGCTGAGTGACCGTGCCCCACGCGCCCGCCGCCCACCTGCTGCTCACCTGGTCCGAAGGCCCAAAGGCGGCCCTGATTTGCTGAGAGCTCCGGGGCTGCATGTGGGGCTCGAACTGCACCAGGCGATAGGGCTGCGACTGCAGGAAGCTGGTTATCCACCGCGCAGCCTCCTCGCCGCAGTCCCGGCCCTGCACCTCCAGGCCATGCACCCTGCAAGGGACGGGCACAGGGTAGCACAGCTGAGGACCTGGGCACCCTGGTCTGTGTCCTGCGCCCATGCCAACAGACATAGTGTTGGCATCCCTCATCTACAGGAGGAGCCACTCCACTCCAAGCCACAGGGTCCCAAATAGACACAGAAGGGCTTTGCAATCCTGGGCTCCACTGGTTTAAAAACATTGCCAGTGACCCCTCAAACCCTCATGTGGGCATGGGTGGGACTTTTCAAAGCTGGGTGAGCCTACAGCATGTGACTTTGGAATTCAGCTATGTGATGCTGGGATTTGGACTGCCTACTTCGGTGTGAGTGGTGATAAGGGCACAGAAAGAGGGCAGGCCTGCCACTGCCCCTGCCTGCCCTGCCGAGGACTGTTTCTCCCTTGCCGTGCCACTCTGCCTTGGAGCCAGCTGACCATGGCTGAAACCTCTCAACTGTGAGCTACATACAGTAAGTCTTCCCCCACTAACTGTGGGAGTCGGCAACAGGCAAAGTGAGACAGAGACTGACCAGAAAGCTCTGCTGATAGGCACAGCTCTCGATGGCCAGTATGGGGGAATGAAACGGTGACCTATGTGAAAATGCTCCATAAGTAACAGAATCGACTCGGATTTGATACCTATCAATACATGCATAGGGCTTAGAGCCCCCATTCCAACATGCAGCTGTGTACAGGGCTGTTGGGGTTCAGCAAGTTACATAGCTGTATGCAGGAAGTAAAAGCCGTGGCTCTGGCCAGATCCCCACACAGAAGCCAAGGTAACTTCACGCGGTACCTGGTACAGCACTAAGTAATGGCACTGCTCAGGGACAAAGTAGTTCTCTCCAGGCGAGTGGTTATTATTCGCCTATTCTTTTTGTGTGTCTCTCACGATGTCACCAAGCTGGCACTCCTGATCGCCTTGCCTCAGTCTCCCCAGTGCTGGGATTGCAGGGCTGTGCCCTGTGTCCGAAAATCTTAACTCAGCACCATCCGAAAACCACTTCCTGAAGCAAAGAAAGAGCAGGTCTCAAGTCCACAACTTCTGCAGGCCGTGGGTTCAAGCTAGAATTTGGAAGCACTTCACGTGGTCCAGACTTGCCTTAGTTTCCTGCTATGCCTGGAAAATCGCGTAGGCAGCCACCAGCATTTCCTCTGAAAATAAGTATGTTCGAGATGTGGTTGAAGACGGAGGATGGACAGAAGAGAGTTACGTATCCAGCAGTGCCGAGTTTATGGTGTGGCCTGCAGTTTCTTGGAGGCAGTGTGTGACTGCTCCCACAAGGCCTCCCCTGCAGCTCCCGGGGCTGAGGATAGGGCTTCAGTGCCCAGCGCAGCCCCCAGGGCTGGACGTCCACCCTGGCTGGGGCTGCTCAGTTTGGGTCACTTCTTTGGCTGCAGGTGTCCTTGTCTGTCTCAGGACTGCCTCTCCCTAGAATTAAACGTCGCCCTTCTAACAAACTGCCCTGCTACAGGCTGCCAGCTACAGGCTCTTTCCTTACACGGATTTGGGGGTGTTCAGCTTTCCCAGCAAAGCAGGAGAGGTCCTCTGACAACACAGATCTCATGTGTTCCAGAACGCTGTGCTCTGCCATCCTGCCCCTCCTGCTCCCCGTCCTGGGTGGCCGTTTCTCTTGCTGACCTGTCTGTGTGCTTTTGCTCTCACTGTTTCCTGCATGGGACTCGTGTGTGTGTGTGTGTGTGTGTGTGTGTGTGTGTGTGTGTGTGTGTCTGTCTGTCTGTCTCTCTGTCTGTCTATGTGTGCATCTCTGTGTGCATGTGTGGTATTTTTAGCAAGGTCTCGCTATGTAAAGTCCCGCCAGCTCAGCCTCTGGTGCTGGGCTTGCAGGTGTGGGCTACCACCTAGGCTTTCCCCTGGGCTTTCACATCTTTTGGCCAGCACGAACTCAGGTCCACAGGATGCTGAGCCCTGAGCCCCAAGTAGGGCGCACCCAGATCTGTCAAGGAGAACCCATGATGCTTGGGCAGGATCCCCATGGGGTCCACACCACTCAGCACTGCACAACTGCCTGGGCCGCCTGTCCGTCCTCACCTGCACGTGCGCACTGGGTTGGTGGCGGGGGCCTCAATGGGCAGCAGCAGGTCCTCGGTGTAGGCCCCGCTGAGAGTCAGGGTCTTGCCGTCACAGGTCAGAGAAATGAGGACCATGCGGGGCTCCTGCCGTGCAGTGACCATGTTCTCCTCCTCGTTGATCACCAGCCAGAACCTGGCAATTTCAAAACACAGGAGACGGGTGGCCACCCTGACAGCGGGTAGCCTGTCTTTGCCAGAGCTATAATGGTAAGCAGTCATTGCTAATGTCCTCTGTGTGTGTGTGAGAGAGAGAGAGAGAGAGAGAGAGAGAGAGAGAGAGAGAGAAACTTCAACATGGCCCAACCCTGCTGGAACATTTTAAAGGGCTGAACCCAACAGAGGGCATACGGAACATGTGTGACGATGTTAGCAGACAGTAAAGAACAGGAAGGAAACCTTTTGCCGAAGGGAACAGAGCCCAGGAGTGGAAGGAAAGGGGTTCAGATGTGAGCGCACAAGCTTTGGATCCCCACGGCGAGGGTATTTCCCATGTGCCACAAACATGTACTAGTGAGACATTTTTTAGACAGATAACAGGTACCAAGCCACAGCTGGAGGCCACACAGCACAGTGGGGGGCCACAGTCCACAATAATCTAGCATGTGTTTCATTACTACCTAGAAGGAAGAAGCTTGAAAGCCCTAAACACAGACTGATGCCCAGTGAGTGACCCCGATTTCCTCAGTATGGGTCATATACATGCACTGAGGTATGATAATGAACTGCATACAGATGTGCAATCACTACACGCTAACAAAAACATTTAAAACTACATAAGCAGACAGAAATGTTGACTGTTCTGATTTGGTCATTATACACTTGCACATATGTACTGAATCATACCCTGGTACCCCATAAAGTTGTACAATTAAAATAATCAATGCAAAATCTAAAATAAAAATTAAAAAACAAATAAAAATTAAAAAATTATAATTTCATCCCAGTTTCCAGGAATCCCAATCACTTCCATTAATCGTGCCTCAGGAGATGAGGTGACTGCATTCACAATCAGGCCCGAGGAGCCCGAGGGCAGGAGGAACCTACACCAAGCAGTCACCAGGGAATGGACCCTGGATGACGGCAGTCAAGGCTCCCTTCCTGCTCCTGCCACAGCGCAGGGCTCAGGCCAGCAGCACCTGGTACGTCACACCTGGCCAAGCCCACCACCACCGTGGGAAGCACTGTGTGTTTCAGGGCAGTTACAGTGTTTGAGTAGTCAGGGCTGGGAATCCTGCAATTTGCTAAAGAGTCTACTGTCAATCTAATCAATATTTTTGTCCAGCCTGGAATTCCTGGCCTTAGAAGAATTTCCTATAAAAAATGAATGGAGAAATAAGAGCAACAGAAAGAAGTGTTTCTAGAAGGAGGGGGAGGAGGAGGGGGAGGAGGAGACGACACTGTTTCAAGTGACTTCCCAAGGCTCCCCAGGAGTAAAATACACCAGAGCATTCAGTGCAGAAAATACTTCAGGTCATCAAAGATCTGCCTCGCCTCACCTCGCCTCTGCAGGGTTGGGAACCATCTCCTCAATCGATGAGACCGATGAGGCCGCTGGGATCAGGGGCTCGTGTGGGTGACCCCAGCCACCTGGATGTCACCAGGCCAGCTCACTTGTCACAAGAGCCCCTTCCTGCCCCTTGAGAAGTGGTGTCACTGGCATGTTCTGGGCAGGCCTCTGCCTGGGGACCCCACCACAACGCCTTCCAGGGGGCCCAGGCAGACCCTAAGCCTTCCTTGGGCTCTGGGACCCCACAGCCTGGGCTCCAGAGAGGGCCACTACAGGACAGCCTGGGGACAGAGAAGACTGGGGCCCGGCACACTGCTGCAGGCTCTAGACCCAGCCTCTTTGTCTGCAGGGGGCCTTGAGGGGACTATAGCAAATGTGCCAGCACTTGTCCAGCAGTGGACAGCCACCCACGGTCCCCTCTCTGAGTCCACAGTACTCCCAGAGGGCAGGGTCATCCTGGTTAAGCTTCCCAGGATCCAAGCAGAGGTCACTAAAACGAAGTGACAGGGACGGAAGTCTTGAAGCCCGTCTTATTCTAGAGGGAGATTAAAATGTTTGCTTTCAGAGCTGGACATGGTGGTGCACCTGCAATCACAGCACTACACGAGGCTGAGGCAGGAGGATCCAAACCTCAAGGTCAGTGCGGGCAACTGGTACCAAGCTAGAGAGCCTGTCTCAAAGTCAAACGCGGGCTGAGGGCATGGCGTGGGTTCACTCCTCAGAACAAGAGGAAGGAACCAGAGAGGGCGGGCCTGCGGGGAAGGGGCGAAAGGAAGGCGCTTTTGTTCACACGGCCCACCCTAGGACTCCTCCTGCCGTCCCCCTACCTGTCGCGCAGGTGTCCCACGCGCAGCCCCAGCGCCGTCACCTCGGCCTCGGGCACCGCCACTCCCTTGCACGACTTGATCGGGTAGACCCAGAGCTGCGCCACAGTGCCCACCTGCTTCCGCCGCCGTCGCCCGGGTCGCGCGCGCCAGGCCACTGCCCCCAGCGCCACCGCCGCCAGCCCCAGCGCGGCGACACCGAGCCACGCGGGCCGCGAGGGTGCGGGGAGGCCGAGGCGGGAGAGTGCGCGGGAGCCTGCGGCGCCCATGACAGTGGATACTCTGCCCCAGGCGCGGAGAGGTGGCGCCTAACCCGCCCTGGGCTGCGACCTCCCGGCCAATCCCTGCCGCACCCGCCGCCCCACCCTCTGGGGACAGCTGGAGGCCACAGTACCGCGGCCCGAAATGGAGGGGGAGATTGTGCAACAGAACCCTGGTGGCCTAGGGGGCGGTGACTGCCCAGGGTCAGGATCAGAATCAGAGTCCTGGTCCGAGCTACAGGGTACGGAATGCGGGTTGCACAGTGCACAGCACGGCCTCGGACCTGAGCCTGGGCAGGGAGCCCTCCCAGATAGGCCCCGCAGGCGTGGGCGCTGTCCTTGCTCACATCCAGAAGAGGTCCTGTTAGCCAGGTGAGGTGGTGCACGCTGTGATCCCGGCCCTCTGGGAGGCTGAGCCAGGAGGACTGCAACTTTGACCCTAGCCTGGCAACTTTTCGACCTGTATCAAGGTCCAAAATAAAAAAGGCTGGGGACATGGCTCAGTGGAAGATCCTGGGGTCCACACACACATACACAGGCCTCATTTTAAACAAAAAGCCCCCCACCCCAGAGTGCTTTGGGGCCTCAGCCTCCCCATCTGATGTGCAAGCTGCTCCAGGAACCCATACTCCGTGCTCCTGGGAACCCACCAAGACCCAGGCTGGGGTTTGGGCATTGGCACGGCCTGCTGGAGGCCCTGACTGCATGCCAGCACTTGAGAGCAGACAGACAAGGCACAGAGGCTGGACTCTGCTGTGACAGCACAGACCCAGGGTTCAGGTCCGGCACTCAGCCTGCGGGAGGGTGACCAGGAGATCCAAGGGGCACCCAGCAGGAGCGCTCACAAAGCCAGACCTAAGATGCTCCCAGGGCAACTGGAGTAGGTGTGGGTGACCAGTGGTCAAAGTTGGGCCTCCCAACATGGCATGGCTGGATCCTTGCCCACCTCGCACTTTGGGACCTGGTGAAGGAGCCAGTGGGACCAAGAGCGTCCCTGTGGGTCCCTTGGGCAGGACTGCCCTTGCAGCAAGGAGGCATCGTGGACCAGAGACGGGAGCTCTTCCTGGCCGCCAGCTCACGCCCCCTTTCTAAGCAGTGCCAGTGGGTCCCTTTCTAAGCACCCTTCGCTGGCAAAGGAGAGCAGGCTGAGGCTCCACCCTTCTAGCTGCCTCTTCGGCCCTGCCTGCACCCCCATCCTCCAGCTGTTGGGGAACCTGGCCTTCTTGGAAGCCTAGAGTGGGGGTGATGTCAGGGCCAAGCAGTGGCCCACTGAGGGCCACTAGGCTTGAGCTTTGCATTCCCACAGCCCAGGGCTCCAAGAGCTGTGTTTGTCAGGCTGCTCCCTTAGTCCTTTGGAAGGATGATGGCTTTTGACTCTTCACCTCCAACTCAGTCCGGATGTTGTCTGGTCCCCGACTTGCCCTCAGAGGGTGTGAGGACAGAGGCGTTGACCCCAGAGTCCAGCAAAGGAAACCAGGGAAGGAGGGAGTTCTTCATCCCACCAGGGAGTCTGCGGGCAAGGTGGCCATGACAACTGGCTGGGCACCTGGCCACCTGTGTCCCCCGGACAGGATGAGTGACCGGAGGCTGCAGGAGCACAGCCCTGGGTCAGAAGCATCCACACCAAAGACACGGTAGTGATGACAGCCATGTTTATTAAAAGCAAACCATAAAGTGGTAAGTGGGTTAATCCATTCACCTATTAGTGCAGCGAGTATTTTTGCTTAATCATTTGAAGAGTTCATTTCTCTTATTTTTAAAAATGCATCTAAAAATACATTCATGTTTTCTTGCTCTTCTTCCTTAAATGCATCCCTTTTAAATTCTCTTCTTTGGAATGGGATTTAGCTCAGTGGCACAAGTACCTGCCTAACAAGCACAAAATCATGAGTTTGATCCCCCATACCAAAAAAGGACAAATTCCATTCTTTGCTTTTTCTCACTTGGGACTTCCAGGTAACATATCAACAGACACATGATTTCTTATGGCACATCAGAGGCAAAATCAAATATAAAAGAGTTTATAAGGCAAGGCCACCCTCAAGCCCCACGCCAACCCGGTGACACAGGCTGGGAACAGAAGGAGAGCTCGGTAGCCAGCTGGGACCAGGGCCACTGGACCTGTGAGCTTGACAAGCGGTCAGGCAGCAAGGACCTAAAACAATGGACAGCAGGAAATAAAGTGTCCTTCTTTTTAAATCACAGCTTTACGGCCAACTCTTCAGCCTTCCTTTACTCACCAGCATTAATCAGGGATTGAAAAAGTGTAACAGCCACAATCACATTTGCGATGATTTTATAATTTTGTTGATCTAAAGAGCCTTTATCAGAATTTATACACCTTCATGTTCCCAATCACGTCAAAGACCTTCCTCGCATTAATTTGTAGCCCAGGTAACTCTGAAGAGCCAGAAGTGAGACTCATTTCCAGTTGAAGAAGTCGGTTGGAGGCTGGTAGTAGACTTCTCAAGGTGACCTTGCAGCTGTTAAGATCCTCATCCATGCCTCATGGACACTGCAAGCCAAGGAGTGACAAGAATCTCTTGAACTGGTCATTTAGTGCACTGGCCATAAATAACTCAAACCTGCACAAAACAGTCCCTTAACGAGGTTAAACTGCAGGCGATGTAAAACCACACACTGCCCAGATTGCTGACCCAGAAAGACACAGCAAGGTCCCCGCAGGGTGCAGGCTTTGGAGTGGGTTGGTGTGGCTTGGTTCAGGTGGTGGAGGTGTGCTCTTGGGGTGGCAGTGTGAGCTGGCAGAGAGAGGGACCTGGTGGGCATGGCCAGTGGGGCTGCAGGGCAGTAAGGTCTTTTCCTGAAGCCCCACTTAGCCCACCCTGGAGGAAGTTGTCACAGTGGGTGAGCCGGCCAGCCCCACTGTTGCTCCTGCCACCAAGGTGTCCACAGGCAGCCATGTGGGCACACCGAGGAGACCCCTGATCTTTGACCATCAGCCTTCTAGGCTTCGAGCTTCCTTGTGAGGAAGTATGGGCACTTGTTATAGCCACAGAAAGTGGACTCCTACACAGGGCAGGGGGTAGTAACAATGGAAACAACTGTCTCAAAAATACTCGGTCAGATGCCGAAAGGACACCTCCGCCCCTGGGTCACTAAATGGGCTTTCACCCAGGAGGCTGAGGTAGGAGTCTGGAGAATTGGAGGCCAGTACGGGCAACACATCAAGATACCACTCACAAGAGAAGTCTGCTTTGAGTAATATAACTTATAGACCGAAGAATTCTTTCATTCTAAATGCTTTGCAAAGAAGCCAAACCATGCCTTTTTGTGAGCCAGCTGGTGGGGAGACAAGAGCAACCCTCCCCTTACCCCTGTACGCCATGGGCTGACTTGGAGGAAGTCAGGCTGACCTGACAGAAGCCGAAGTAAAGAAAAATAACTTAACGCTTGCATTGTTTGGTTGACTTTGCAGGCCTAAAGTTGGTGGTCTGAGCATCTATTTGGAGGATAACAACATGCATTATAGCAACTGTGAGGGCTTTCCTTCTGTCTTGTTTTTGAATCCCAATGTTTTGTTCCATTTTGCTGTTTTATTTTATTCCTGTATCTGGTAACCTAAGCAACTATTCTGAAGATATTATGCAATGTAACAACCACTGTTACACTTCTGTCTTCTTGTTTTGAAATCCTGTATCACTGTTGTTGTTCTTTGCTGTTGTTGTTGACTTTTGTTGTATATTTGATTAGTTTGCTTCTGATTTTTTCTGTTATTTCTTTTTTGAAATAATTTCTCTTTAAAAAATTATCAAAAGAAAATAAAATAAAATACTCTGCCTAAGGGGACACCCACTATAGTGTTACTTATAGCAGAATTAAATAATGTAAGCATCAAATACTGAAAAAATTGTTTAGAATGTGTCATACATATGTACAATGTAATGTGGTAAAGTCATCAAAAACATTTGCACAGATTGGAGAGCTATGAAAGCTCTGTATATATACATATATATGTCACATGATATATAAGTACATCACAGCTACCTTAAAAAGCAAAAGCTGCTATTGGAATAAAACTTCTAAATAGTAACAATGGATGATTTGTGTTACTTCTCTGATATTTTCTAAATTAGCCATGGTCAACTTGTACTGTCATCACGAGAAAACAGTAACATTTGTACAGTTAAATTTTGAGCAGATAAGGAAGCCACTCTGATACCCAGAGGTCAGTACCACCTGTGTTTGCTTTCAGGGCTTCCATTCATCCTTTAACCTGGCCATTGGGGCCCCCCATAGGCCTCACCCAGGCTGGAGGGGGACACTGCTGGGGTTCCCAAGCACACAGCTCACACCCCGAGGCACGAGCAGCTCCTGCTGGCCAGGGCCTCCTGCATCTCCTGGGACTCCAACCCTGAAGACTGGGTACTCAAGGGGGCAGGACACTGTGACCGAGGTCATGGCTTCTGTCCAATGTCCCCCAAAGCCTCATGGGGTCACAGGTGGGGCTTTTCAGAGGTGGCTGGATCTACAGTGCATGATGCTGGGACCAACAGTGTGTGGTTACTGACTGATCCACTGATTGGTTTGGCACAGATCTGAGTGTGGAAGGCCCTCCCTGGGGTGGGTGCTACCCAGGGTGAGTAGCCTGGATGGAGTAACAGCAGGAGGGGGCTGCGGCTTGCTGCCTCCCGCCCGCCATGGACTGTTTCCCTGCTGCCGGAGCCAGCTGCATGTTGACCAAAACCTCTTCACACTGTGAGCCGAAACTAGCGGGTTTCCCCTTTAACTTCAGGTGCTGGAAACCTGTCTCGGGCATGACAGACGTCCTGCACACCAGCCCACTCACCTGCCCTTCTCTTCCCGCTGTACTTCTGGGCTTGGCCAAGGGACTTGGGGGCCAGGGTTTTCTTTGGCTCAGTAAGACCAACGAGAGAACATTATTTTCTATGCCATGCTGCAGGATCTCATCGCCTTCACATACTTTTTTCAAATTTAAATTACATTTTAAAATACGCTTGATATAAGCGTTTGATTTAAAAAATCTTCCCCAGGTATTTTGAACAATTGAGACATTTCTCCCTCACTTTTCTACCTGAGATGGAAAGCGGTGCAGCACTCTAGAGAACTGCCCCCTCCCGCTCCCCTGACAGGGGGCCTGGCTCTGTCTCCCAGGGGACGGCTGTGGGGTACAGCAGCCGGGTGAGCTGGACCTGAGTGCCAGGGAGGACGCTCCCCAATTCCCAAGGTCTGCGTGACCCTGACACGTCTTCACCCGAGAAAATTGGGCAGTGGCTCCCAGAAGCTAAGCTCCCGCTGCAAAACGGACCTCGCTCAGGTCAGCCTGGGGGGGCCGCTCAGTCCACCAGCTGGTACACGGGGTCCCCAACTCGCAGGACTCCAATCTTTTCCACCGTAAAGTAGACCCCAAAGAGCGGGGACGACTGGTATAAATGCTTCATGGAGGGGTCGCACAGGCGGTAGCTGGAAAAGACAAGACGCGAAGTTATCAAAAGCAAAAGGACAATTTAAGTGCTCCACGTGAAATTCAAGCTTTCACTCCCAGGTTATTTCATAATGATACTCGGCCTTTTCTAAAATGTTGGCAGAAACCACAGACGGTCTGCCGAGCTGCAAGGAGCGCTAGCTTTTCTCCACAGACCCTGACAGCTAAGCAAGTTTCTGAGGCTTCAGTTTGAGGCTGAAAGAGAAAAGCCCGCTGTGTGTAAGCAGCATAGAAACACCTGGCTCACATGGGCACTGGGCGCCCTGAAACTCACTGAAACAGATCACACAATCTCACAGGAGCCCACTGGATCCTCCGACCCTTGGGTTAGTCCCCGGAGCTCTGAGTTTAAACCCTCCATGCCTGTGGCCACTGGGCTAGGCTACTGCCTTAAGTGACACTTTCCTAAGCTTATTTGAAAAACAATACTAACATCACTGCATCTTAGAGAACAAAGAACAAAAACAAAGCAGAATTATGCATCGAACTACCTGGTCTCCACCTAACTCACTGGAAACAAACAGCCAAAACAGGAAGGGAAAAAATTGTTCTAGCTTTAGTTTTTCTGGAACAGGTCCTAGGCATGTGAACAAGAGCTCACACCCGCCACCTAGGTGTGCAAACACACTTCACACGGAGGCGACAGGAGCCAAACTTCTTTCAACAAAAAAGGAAAAATCCCGGTGTGGAAGAAGTTCACCGAATCAGTCCTGACACCCCACTCCATCCATCTCCTCGACTCCTTTCATGTTCTCTGAAGTTTGTTTTAATACAGGCATTTGAATAATAAGCACAATTAAATAAGAATTTGAGGCCTTCGTGTGGAAATGCACATCTAAATGTTACTAAGAACTGACATGAGAAGTAGCAAAATTTCCAAATGAAATATTGGACAGTTAAAAATGTTTCTGGCTGGCATAATGCCACACATCTGTAACCTTAGCACACTGGGAGGCTGAGGCAGGAGGATCACAAATTCAAACTCAGTCTGAGTTATGCCTTAATAAGACTCTGTCTCAAATTTTTTAAAAAAATGGTAAAAACTATAGCTCAGCATGAAAGCCCTGGCTTCCACCCCTCAATGCAGAACAAAATAAAGATTAAAAAAAAAAATAAAAAGAAGAAGAGAAAGAAAGGAAAGGTATTAAAAGCACAAGTTTCACCTAGTCAAGAAAGAAGCAGCAAGGTGGAGCTGGGCCAATGCTCAGTCCCATAAACTGAGGTCACGTGAGCCCCTGAGCAGATTCGGGGTGCCCTCCCTGGGCAGCTGGTCCTAGGCACCACAGCCCTGGACCCACACAGACGGCACTAAGATCACAGGGCACCCGGTGTCCAACCTCTTCAAGGTCTGCAGCGGCTCCTTCCGGTCAATGACACCTGTGTCGGGGTCCACGGTGGTCAAGTTGCACCTGTCACAGAAGCACCAAGGTCAGGGGAGGGCAGAAGCCGCACCACACCCAGGCCACGGCAGGACACACTCTTACCTGGGGCAAGACATCACCCTCTTTATCTCAACGTCACCGATGACAAGGTCCTCCCAGGAGTCCTAGAGGAAGGGATCTCAGGATTAGGCTGCCTGGCCCGAGGTAGCGCACCGCCTGGTGCCAACCATGAAAGCAGCAGGAACGCAGCAGACACACAGCTCCTCTGGGACACTGTGGAGGCCCCGCCCCGCTCCGGACATGGCTTTCCTGCTAGGCCAGCGCTCCAGCCCTGAGCTCCGTCCCCAGCCCTGGGTCCACCCCACACACACACTGAGGAGGGAACCCCGGGCCTGACAGTGGGCACCCCCAGTTCACCTCAGGGCTTCAGCTCACCCTCACAACTCAGAAGGGACTGAAAATGTGACCCCACCCATTTCAGCCCAAACAACAGGCCAAGAGGAATTGCCACACTTTCCTGGGGTCACGCAGACGCAGGACAGTTGGGGCCAAAAATCTTCAGGATTTCCTGGCACATGCACACAGATGCTCACGGACACCACATACAAACATGCATGGATATACTCACACAACACGCATACACATGTACACATACTAACATGCACACACAGAGGCATGCACAAGTACATGAAAGAGCCTGATGTTACTCATGTAATGTGGGGGTTCCAAAACTCTTCAGACAGCCAGCCAGACCCCAAGATCCCCCAGCCCCTCTGAATCCTCTCAGGCTACAAAACCTACCAGGATGGGAACTTTTAGCAGATGCAACAGAAAAGACCATACACTTCACTACAGGTCTGACTTTTTTTGTACGTTTTTGGCCTGAGCGAAATGCCCAGATATGGAACTCTAGCTGTGCACGCATATACACACGCACACGCCCCTGTGCTGGAGTCACACAAACCGAGTTGCACAGAGGGTGTTTCAAACCAGCGTTCAGCAAACTGCTCCTGGGTGGAATCACCACACCCCCAGCCACCAGTCAGCAAGACACCTCTGTGACCCTGGAGATGTCAAGGTCACCTGTGTAACCACTGTCCTCCTCACGTCCAGCTCAGATCTATCCCAGGCACCTTGCCAACGGTGAGATGCAAAGATACTTGGCGTGTAGGGAACTTCCTGGGGTTGGGGAAGGGGACAGGGGTCCTGGACAGAGGGCAGCATCAGGCTGGACACAGTCACCCATGGAGCGCCTCAGCCACAGGACTGCAGAGGTAGATGCACTGGACTCAAGCACCTGGAGCTGCCCCAACCTCTTCCCAGAGGAGATGGACCGAGCACCAGCAGGACTTCTGTGTGGTGACCATGACAGGAGGCAGGACCCAGCTCAGCAGGGCAGAATCGGGTCCCTGCTGCCCCACTTCGGCCGGCAGTGGGCTCAGTCTCTACCAGGGCTACCCACAGTCTCTACCCAGTCTCTACCCAGCCTGGCTACCTATGCAACACTGACCACTGGGCACAGCAACATCCAACGTGATCGCCATCCACGTTTTGGTAAAAAAGCATTTGCAAGAAAAAAAAAACTAAGCTAATTAAATGTAATTGTTCTCTGTGGAAAATAAAATTAAAATCATTGAAAAATTAAAATAAATTACATAAGAACTTAAACATTTCCATTATATTCTTTTTTTTTTTTTTTTTTTCCTTTTGGAGACAGAATCTCTCTGTGCAGTTCAAGATGGCCTTAGAGTTCAAGATGGCCTTTGTAGCCCAGGCTGGTCTCAAACTCACAACAATCCTCTTACCTCAGCCTTCCGAGTTCTGGGATTACAGGCGTGAGCCACTACGCCTGATTACTCCATTATATTCTTTAAGATACACACACAACTCAGCGAGGACAGGTCTCGGGCCAGATTCCAGGGTTGGACCCAACCTGAACAAGACTGGAAGAGTGCGCGTGCGCCCCCTGCTGGCGAGCATCCTGCCAGCAGTCCCAAAAAATCCAGGTCTGCAGGCAAAACCCAGAAGAGAGGAAGCCTGGGGAGAAATGAAGTCCGGCAGTTTCTGAGACGGAGAAAAATCAAGGAGAACAAGAGACACTATGCACAAGGCGCACAGTCCCGGGATTAACCCTGAGAACCGGCAGGAACACGCGCACATACTGTAAACACCATTCAGGATCGCACGTGGTTTCTAGCACGAGCAGGTTCCGGAGAGAAGTGAAACGCAGGCGGGGTACACAGACAACAGATGTGTGCATCTGTCCCCTAGAGGGCTTCGCGGGGGTCCACACAGACCCTCGATAGCAGCTGAACCTGCAGGACTTAAAACACAGCTGGTGCAGACTACCCTCCTCCCTCAGGTGCGTATACATGCACTCACGTGCGTGGCTGCATCCACAGAGGGAGCAGCTGCACGGAGAATGCCTGCACCTGTCTCCCTGCCCTGTCCTGGTGCGTCCTCGTTCCCGGCCGCGGGCCCTGCATGCCACAGTGATTTGCACATTATGAGACAGTGCTGTGCACACCACTGTTAGCAATAAAGCAATTAAACACGATGCAGACAAAAACAGAAGGGATGACCCAGTGAGCACACGAACTGCTCTCTTCTGTTTTAAAGCCCGGAAAGTCACCAACCGCAGTGGCTGCTTAGGACATGCAAGGCATGTACCCTTTAAGTCCTAGAAAGGAGGGTGCAAACCTGTACTTCAGTCACCCTGAGAAACGCTGAAGGCGCTGCGGGGTGAGCACTGCAACACCAGCAGAGTCCTGGGCATCACATCACGTGGGGTGAACATGGACACAGCTCCCGTGGACACAGATGGCCAGGGCCCGGCCTGCTGCACTCCCGGGTCTCGTGGCCTCTCGTTGGCAGCATGAACTGAGCACTTGTGCACTCCGGGGCCACCATGAACACCATTACATTCCCAGATCACTAAAAGACCACAACTCAGGATCAGCCAAGTGAAAAAGAAGCAGCGGGCATCTGAGAGGCGGAGGGGAGCACAGGAACAGCCACCCTGGGCCTCCCCCTCTTGATCCAGACCAGCGTAAAGTCTGCGGAAAGCAGTCTGGTGACTTAGGCAACAAGTCACTGAAACACTGGCCCTGGATTTCCTAAGAACGATCCTGGAAACATGGATGGGGACGGTTTCACGAAGCACTTAAGAGAAAATGGGAAACTGCTGAGGTGGCCCCCCGCAAGGACACGCACGGCAGGGGCCTCTGATGAGCGAGCGGGTGGGGTGCCTGGCCTGGGCTCCCGAGGACCCAGGCAATAGGTACTGGCCTGAGGGGCTCTACCCTGTGACACTCTGCAGGGTGCCTGCCCAGCATGGTGCTGGATCCTAAAGATGACAGCTCCTCCCTCCAATACTCACTTCTTTCTCACCTTCTCATTTGAACTTCAGGCTTTGCTTTTTGTTCACCCAATCAGCTGTCAATACGTCACCCTCCCTACCCCTTCAAACTCCACCCTGTCAAAACTAATAAAAGCCCATGGCTTCTTCGGCTGGGAGGGATTGAGCCCTCTGCTGCAGCCCTCTTATACCCGCAGGAAAGACCTTTTTCTTTTTTTCCTCCCTTCTCTGCGGCACCTATCTACTGGGTGCTGCTGTAGACCACCTCTCACAGCAGGATGGTGGCAACTTCTTTCCCTCTTTATAAACTTCAGGAGCCCTGGAACACAACAGGGATCAGTCAATTCACTGGCAGTGCTGGGAATGGAACTGTCAGCCCCCACATCATAAGCAAATGCTCTCTCTGAGCTACGTCCTCAGCCAAAATACATTTTCTTTTAAATTACTCTTATAATCAGAAAAAGACAACTTTATCTTAAAAAGTTTCCAGAACGATAAGCAAGCTCCCCTGGCTTTCCGTGTGTGAGGCACACACTTTGCCCATGAGTGTGGCCAGGCTCCACTACACACTCACCACCACGTTCACCTCCAGAATCTCAGAGGATGCCCCTCACTTGGCACCTAATCCCCCCATCGTGTTCAGCCTGATCTTTCAATCCTGAATTGTCTTACTGCTCGGAAGGTGCAGAGAGGGATCTGGGGTTCAGGTAGCTGGACCCGGAAAGTCCTAGCCAAAGGGCAGACAGGAGCCTGAGACTCTCTTGGAAGCTTCCGTTCTCTGGGGACCATGGGACCCTGCGAGAGGGAGGCAGCTGTGTAGCTGTCTCAGGGTGTGGGCGTCCACCTCTGCAGAGCACTCACTGGCCACGACACTCCGAAAAGCTGACGCAGTAGTGTGTAACCCGGTCACATGCAGAGTACTCTCATGGGAGGCGGTGCTGGTGGACGGGGTGCCTCCTAGACAGACACCCAGCACCCCTCAGTGCCCGGCCCTGTCCAGTTCCATGGCCAGGTCATTGCTGGTAACTCAGCTCAGCAAGGCCTCTGTGGGATCTCACACTCTGGGCCAGGCACAAAGCAGGAAGAGCGGCTGGGGGTCCTGAGAAGGCGCCCAGTGACCAGATGGGATCACACAGAGAGAAGCCAGGACACAGTGCAGCCGCCTGTGTCGTACACTCGAGCTCCTGAGGACGAAGAACAGTGCGGAGAGGAAACCTGTACCTGCCCTGGCCACAGACAGACTTTGTGGTCGTTCTTCTTAAAATCATACAGCATCACAGCCAGTCACACAGCATTTCCATGGGGCAGGGACCAGTGATCTGCAGGCCAGCTACATCTCCAGAGAGCGAGGGTGCATCTGCACATACACAGGAACTCACACAACCTCAGCATAGCAAAAAACCTTTAAAACTGTTTACTAAAACCTGCTAACTTTAAAATAAAATTTAAAAACAAAGCTGGGCATGGGGGTGCACACCAGCATGCCAGAAGGGGAGGCAGGAGGATTGACATGGGTTCAAGACCAGCCTGAGCTACACGGCAAGACCCTATTTCAAAAAAAAAAAAATTGGGGGGGGTGGGACCAGGGATCAAACTCATAACCTCTCACGTGCCAGACAAGTGTTTATACCACTGGGCTACATCTCCAGTCCTAAAAAATAATACATTTAAAATTTTAAAAATACGGGGGCTGGGGATTTAGTTCAGTGGCATAAGCGCCTGCCTTGAAAGCAGGCAGTTGTGAGTTCGATCCCTGGTACCGATAAAAAGGAAAAAGACAAAAAAAAAAAAAAAAAAAATTAAAAATACGTAATGTTTAGGGAGCATGGGACTCAGGAGGCCACCCAGGTCCCCAGCATGACGCAGCTCCTGCTGATAACACCTCTGGCTCTGCTCTGTCCCCAAAACTAAGGGTGGGCACCCCCTATTGGAAAACAGCCCAATGCCTGGAGGACAAGCTGCCAGGGCGAGGACAACCATGGCAGGGTCAGCCAGCCCAACTGCAAGGATGGAGGTGAGGGCCTGCAAGTCTCCCTCACTGTGCCCCCAGGTTCCGCTGTCTTTAGGGGCAACTACAGGGCCAGTGCCACTGACTGCAGATGGACGCTGGCCACTTGCAGAAGCAGAGGTACAGGACACTGCGGGTCTTCACTGTGGACCTGCACTTGGAGAGGCTGGGGCCTCTTCTAGACAGTTACTCTGAGCACCGTGCCCAGGACAGCTCCGCAAGGGTGACTCCTTATTTAGTGTGCACACTGGGAGGCTGAGGCAGGAGGGTGGCAAGATCCAGGCCAGCCTGGGCAACCTGGGGACTTATGAGTCACTGTGTCAACATTAAAAATGAGAAGGGTCGGGACTGCAGCTCAGGGTGAAAGCCCTGGGTCAAACCTCAGTGCTGTGAAGGAAGGAGGGAGGGAGGGAAGCAGGAGAGGGAAAATGGGGGGCTCTCTGTGACACAAGGGGCTTGGACAAACGAGAAAGCAGGGAACAGATGGGTTCCCAGACCCCTGCAGAAAGGAAAACAGCTTTCGGGTCCTTCCCATTTGCTTGACTGAACAGAACCAAATAAACATGGCCCTGGCCTTGCCCTCCTCGCCAGCCCCTCTCCTCCCACTAGGGGGCACCAGAGAGTGCCCACCAGCCCCTGGCCTGGAGGGGGTGCCCAGCACAGCCCCTGTCACAGACCAGGCCGTGGCCTCACAGTCACAGCAGCTGTGTGACCTCAGGCAGGTGACTCAAACTCTCTGAGCCTGCATCTCCAACTGAATCACAGGCCTAAAACTCTCTGCCTCCATGACCTACATAAAGATCACACTCGACCTCTCTCCTCTTTCTCACACATACCACAAGAAAAGTGTTTGACAGGATAACTTGGAACCCTTTTTGTTTTGTTTTTTGATACCAGGAATGGAATTCGGGACCTGTGCTCGCCACATACCTCTGTGTCACTGAGCTGTACCCTGGCCTTCCTACTGTGCTCTGAGCTTTCAGATACAAGTTGTGTCCAGCCAACTACAGGGAGATGCGACCTGGTTCAGATCTGGAAGGGACGAGGGAGGCAGTCGAGTGGTCAGGGGCTGGGTTCCACAAAGCAGGACAGAGCGGCAGTGTCACCACTACCCTCTCAGACATCCCTGCAGCGGGCAGACAACGCTGCTGTCCCCGGTCACAGGACACAGGGACGGAGCCAGTGCTCACAGCCCAGGTGAACCCCTAACCCCTGACCAGATCACCGGGGACGAAGGGCCGACAGCATGGAGCGAGGACCGAGGACAGGGGAGCCCAGAAACAATGGCCGCCAGCTGCACAGAGGAGACGCCCCTGCCGTGGCCCTGCACTCTGGGACTCCAACACAGCGCCCCGCCTGCCTCCTAAAATCTCCTCCTACCCTGAGCTCCACGTGGAAGCTCAGAGTCTGCCTGGCTGCTGGGCCGACCTTGCACAACGGCTCCCCATGACTCCGCATTTTACAACCAATCATGGCCTGGATCCATGCACCAGGCAGGCTCCCCTGGGCCCTCTCTCCTGAGCTGACTGTGTTAAACGCTGATGTGCTTGTATTAATAGCTAAGAGCACCTCACTAAGTGAAGGGCTGCTTCCTGGCTGCCCAAGGTAGATCGCTTAGGGCATCACGCCCAGCACTGCCTTGTGTAAAGCAGAATAAACCAGGGACATCAATAGCACTTCCCAGCAGGGGTCTTGGTTTTTACCGTGCATTCCCAAAGGACTTTCCAGGAACTCAGAGTGCCCGAACTTATTTACTGTTTCCAAAAGCCCAACATAGTGCAGAAAGAAATGAGCTTGGAAGCATACTTTCTGGAATACTGGTGAAAATTCTACACTCCAAAGGCCTGAAAGCAGGCCAGCTTCTGTAACCCTCGGCTAAGACGAGGCACTGGAGACCTGAAATCCCCCAGCCACGGGCAGGCGACAGCTTGGCTCTTTCCCGGGTTCCAGATCTTACCCACAGATAAGCACCGGTGCAATGTCCCCTTCTGGGGAGACAAATCAAGGAAAGTGTTACTCCTTAAAATAAAGCTCCAGAGAAAGTAAAGAACAAGGGGCCAGGATCCTGCGGAGGAACGGCTGCTTCTGGGATTCCCTTCCAGGCCGAAGGAAGCGCATTTCCTGGTGTCACACGAGTGTGCAGTGACACCTTCCTCACTGTGCTGTGCTGGATGCGGAGGGGACTCAAAATTGAGACCCAGGCAGGCTGCAGGAGCCAGAGTCCTTCCAAGGCCCGCACGGAATTTCATTTCTGTTGCTTCCTTTTTCCTACAGTGGCCCCCAAGCCACAGCTCCTGCAGTCTAACTTGGGCTTACCCTGGGGGAAAGTGTGGGCACCCCGCACAGGGCTCCCACACCCCACCTCCCACCTCCACGACCCGGCACCCCCAGCATGGACCTCAGGCCTAGCCACACACCTCCTCGAAGGCACCGCAGCCAGTCACCACGATGTTGGGCCGGAAGTTCTCCATCTTCACCTTCTTCTCCAGCCTGGTGTTCAGGTCAACCAGCGAGGCCTCCGTGTGGAGCAGGACAGGACTGCAGTCGGGGTAGGGCACCTGTGCCGGGACAGCACAGCCGGGTCACGCACACGCCCAGTGGCCCAGGCCATCTGCCGCAGGAGAACAGGGTGTTCATAACAGAATGCCCGATGTCCACACCCTCAGGCCAGATCCTGGGCTGGTTTCCGGCTAGCATCGCTTGCCCACCCTCTTCAGCCTGGTCTCTCACCATCAGACACTAACCCTTTCTCTCTTCCTCCTCATGATGCTGCCAACCTACCACACTCTAGTTAGAATTTCTTTGATACCACCATTTCCTCAATGAGCATTTATTGGGCACCTTCAGGCACCAGGTCCTGTTCAAGGGGTGAGGAGACAGCATCAACAGAAGAGGCAACCTTGACCCTCTTCCTGCGCTCATGGGGTCCAGTCTAGGCCTACGTGTGGGGAGCAACTCCCCAGTCACCTGCGCTTCAAGCCCTGGCTCAGAGCCTCGGGCTCCAAGCTGGGCTGGCAGGCGACTGACCTCCCTGGAGGAGGTGCCCTGATGGCCCTGAGGAGACTGAGCCCCAGGTCCCTGCGGAGCTGCAGACTCCTGTGCTCTGCTCTTGCCACTGAGATTCCAGTGAAAGCCTTGCCCAGGGTGCCACCAGCTCCTCTCCACTCCAAACCCCCAGTCTCTCAGCTCCTCCATACCCAACCACTCCTCTCCATCCCAGAGCCTCTGCACACCCCCAGGCCACCATCCTGGGTCCCAGGAGAGACACTGCAGGTGGAGGCAGAAGCCCGACTCACCTGGTACCCGAAGTCCGGTGCATTGGAGAAGATCTCCTTGGACGTGCGCCCCTTCATGCTGGTCTCGTACTGTACCAGCCTGTAGGCTTCCGTCTTCAGGAAGCTGGTGAACCACCGTGCCACCTCATCACCACAGTCCCTGCCTTTGATGTCAAGGCCAAACAGCCTGGAGGGCCAGAGGAGGAGCAGGTCACAGACCTCAGCACCCAGGGACAGAGACTGAACTTGGGGACAGAGATAGCATACAGTAGCCTCTATGGGGGCAGAGGGTGCCTGGGGAGGGCAGCTCAGCCCCAGCACAGACAGATCAGGGTATGGGTCACAGCTGATTCTAGGATTTGGCTGTGTCCCGGGAGCTGCGATCACACACTCCATCCTCCCTGATGTCTCCCTAGCCCTGGGGTCAGCTGTCAGGTTGCCACTGTCCCGCGTGTGCCAGCTGAGGTTCTGAGGAAGGTCCTGACCTGACGGAGAGGAGCCCTGAGCATGGGCACAGACGCCTGCTCTGATTAACCACGCTTCTCCCTCCCTCCCGGCAGCTCTGCCTCCCGGGACATAGGGACCACTTGCAGCTTGGTGCTCCAGTCAGTGCCACTCCACTGGGCCCCCACCACCTCCTTCAGTGAACTCCTACCAGCCAGGCTACCGTCCCAATGCCCAAAGGCCTTGGGGGCAGGTACTGTACCAGACATCCAGGGACCCTCTGTGCCCCCGCACCCCTGAAGTTACCCAGACTGGCTGGCCCAGCCTGCCCACTCAGCCCAGCCTTTTCCTTCCTGATTGCTCTCTCCTCCACCTGAGCAACCCTGCAGCACCCAGGGGCTCCCGTTTTGGGAGTCTGTTAGCATAAACGAGTTCTTTCTTCATGAGAGTTGTGTCCACACGTGCAGATCAGAACTGGCCCAGGGCACTGTAGGGAGCGGCATATCTCACTGCTGCCACTTATCTCGCCCTCCTGTGGGCCTCTGCCGCGTCCACCTACATTTCCCATGATCCTCATGTCTGCCTACATTACCCATAATCCTCTCCTGCTTATGTCACATATCCAGATGTGACGATGACCTATCAGATAATACTCCGTGCCCTCTTCCTGCCCTACTGGCCCACCTCCACCCTATATAAGTTGTAGCCATTTTAAAAATAAATGAGACTTAAATGAAATCCCGCCTTGTCTCCATCTCTCTTTTCTCTTGCCCAGCCCCCATCCCCATCCCCTCTCCAGGCGAGGACCATGGTCTTGATCTGCGGGCCGGATCAGGGCACCCCAAAGGCCATGCTACACAGCCCCCCGGCACCCTGAACCCACAGCATAGCCTTCCTCACGCACACCCCTGGCACCCACCCTCATCAGCCCAGGGCCCATGCACCTGCAGTCGAGGAGCTTGTTTGAGGAAGGCAGCTTGCAAGGCAACACCAGCGGGTCCATGCCGGGCGCCTGGAGCACCAGGGACCTGTCCTTTGAGGTGATGGAGACCAGCACAAGGCGTGGCTCCTGCCGAGCGGTGACCATGTGTCCATCCTCCTTGACGACCATCCAAAACCTGCAGGTGCAGAGGCAGGCTCTTAGACCTACGCTTTCCATGTCCTCCAGCTCTCCGGACCTGACCTGGGCCCCAGCATCTGCTCCGGGACACCTGGCTCTGGCCAGTTCCTGGAGTCTGATGCTGTTCTCCCCAGAAAGCACTTGTTTGGCAGCAGGGCTCTGGGAAAGAGAGTGCTGCCCAATGAACACTGGCCCAGATTCAAACACAGCCAATGAGGAGGCCGTGGTCAGGTGCCCAAGTGCCCTCTGGGGGTCCCATGTTGCTCAGAAGCCCTAACCCCACCCACCCAGGCTGAAGAAGAACAAACAGCTCCAGATACTTTTAGAGGACAGCAGGACATGGCAGAGGGACCAAAAATGCTGCCCCAGGGCCGCTTGAAAACTGGCCTCCTCTGCCAGCTTGTAGTGGCCTGCGGCCCCACCTCAGGGCAGCGGGCCCCTAGTCCTGCCCCTCCATGCAGGCTTCCGGCCCTGAGCTCGGAATCACAAAGTCAAGGGCTGGATTTGAGCTCAGCTCTACCCAGCAGCGCCCGCAGGCAGATGTTTCCGTGAGCTGAGAGGCAGGGCGGGGTAAACCAGTGACTACGACACCTCTGAGACTGGGGCTGCACCCCACTTGCAGCTGTCCCCCAGGAGAGTAAGTTGGGATCACCGTCTGAGACAGACCACTGCCTTCGAGGAGCACACGGTGAGGACTCCTTGATGTGGTGTGAGGGTGAAGGGCGCCCCCTTTGGAGGAGGACAAACTCCAGAACTGGGGTGCTCCTAAGCCTGGGGCTCCACTGTCCTTTCCTGGCCCGGCTCTCCAGGTGCCAGCTGCACAGTTCTGTCAGTGTCCGTAACTGGCATGTGCCCTGAGGTACAGGGTGGCAGGCAGAGGCGTGCTGGGGTATCATCAGGCCTCTTCCCCCAGCAGGCACACCAGGCGGCGGCAGCTCACTCTCCAAGGAGGCCACCAGCCGCTTCCCATGTGCCCCAATCCCTGGGTTCTCTGATCTACTCAGCCTTCGGGGTTCTGTCACCCAGATATGCCTGTTGGTTCTGCGACACCCCTCTACTCCCCATTTCTAGCCGAATCCTTCGCTGCAGATCGCTGGGTGACCCTGTACTGTACCCAGCATGACTGTCTCCCCAAGACCTCATTGGCTCGTGGTATTTGGTAGTGAGACCTTGAGGCATGATCAGTCTTACATTCCCATAAATGGATCGATCCAAGCATGGATGAATGGATTACAGCCTTTCCAGGCTCTTGGGTTTCTCAGTCTCTGCCTTGAGCTCAATCAACCTCCATTCTTTGCACATTTCCTGATCGTGGATATATCGCTATGGCAACAAAAAATGGACTAAGACACTGGGCTCTTGTTAATCTCCCGGAAGTCTGCACCCCTTTACTCTCCTTTACTCACCATCCCAAGGAGGACTCCCCGACAGACCTGCACATACCAGCCATGAGTGACACCTACTTCCCCGGGGCAGCCTTCTAGTCCCCTGAATTGCTTATGACACCAGACTTCGCAGCTGCAGAATGGTGTGGGAATCACAGCCAGGTTAACAGCGGGGACAGGACAGGGGACGGAAAGTGGCAACACACAAGGAGCTCAACACTGGTACAGGGCAAAGACAAAGGTGACACCCTGACCACCTCACTACCTGTCACCTGGGTAATGAGACATTCTATCTCTGAGCACCATTAACCCCTGCAAATGAATAATCCGCTCTGTTCTGCAGCTCTGCAAGGAAAGATAAATCTGGAGGGTGTGGTGGTTTTTACAACCAAATTCTCCCAAACCAGACTGCAACTAAGGCACAGCCACCTCGATCTCAATCGTGCAAGCTGGCAGAGAGTCCAGGTAAGGGTGCAGGGCTCGGGTTCCCCAGAAGAGCAGCAGTGCCCTCAGGGACCACAGCGGGCAGGCAGAGCCGAAGGCCACTGACAAGTCTCCTTGTCAAGTTACAAACTGGCCTGGGGCAGGACTGAGCCTCGGGAGGCAAGAGGACACAGACAGAAGTGAGGGGCAGACTTCCCACCGCGTCTCCCCCACCTCCCCAATGCCCTGTGGCCAAGCCTGTGGCAGGGTCCAGCCAACAGCCTTGAACGACCCCAAAGCTCTTGGCGCACAGCCAAGTGCAAGCACAAACACACTCAGGGCTCTGAACAAAAGGCCCAAGATCCGCCGCAGAGTATTTGCTGAAGAAACCCCAGGCTGTCCTGCAGTTCCCAGACACACAGGCTTGGAGCAGAATGAAGGGCCGGCGCCCTTGTCCTGAGGTCTGGAAACAGCTGTCCTTTCCCACTGTGGTCTCAGGCTGAGAGAAGAGGGCCGCAAACAGAGCTCTCGGCAAGCTCACTTTCCAACACAGATTACGAGTGAGTTCAATTTCTTTTTAGAAAACTGAGTTTAAATGACTTTGTCTCCTCATCCCAAGGCACCTTACCCTCGGGGATGTTCTCACACTCACCCGAGTTCAAACCTCCATCTGCAGGACAGACAGACAAGACAGTAAGATCCAGCCCACAAGCGATGGTGTGGTCCGATGCACAGTTCAGTTTGCTCAGGGTCTTTTTCACATTCAGCTCTGAGCTGACATATATTTCTCTGCCTTTCCCTCTGCCCAGACTGCACCCCTAACCACCCCACCCAGCAGGTACTGTTGTTCCAAACAAGGGCGAGTTGACACAGCTGTGGGATGTCCCAGTGCCCAGGGAGCAGAAAGGTGCAGCTGGAGACCCGAGCAGTACTGTCGGTCTGTGTAGCAGGTAGCACAGTGATGACATGGTATAACAATCAGGAGAGCAGCAGCCATCCGGTGTGAGAGGAAACGCAGACAAGATCTGGGAATCCACAAGAGGACCACAGTCTTGCAACAGAGGGGGAAGGAGCCACGTGTGCATTTTCTGACACGAGTCATGCGATTCTGCATATCCCACCAGGCTGAAGGACGTCCAGCGCTGATGGCCCAGGTCTGTCCAGTGATGAACAGCAGGCTGCGCAGAGCCTGCACGTGTGAAAGGGCTAAACACCGGCACAGTCCCCAAGAGACCCTTCATTCCAGCACCAGGGTCACCCAGGGCAACCAAACCCTCCCCAGCCGGCTTCATGTTTGGTTGAGTCTCGCTCTTTCAGACCGGGCCAGACCTTGGGAAGTGACTGTTTTGAGGAACAGGCCAGGATTAGAAATCCAGCTTGAAAGGGGACAGCGGGAGCAGATCCCAGGGAGGGGGTCCTCCCTCCTGCTCCTGCACATTGGACCCCAGCCAAGAAGCCGTCCTAACCCTGAGAAGGACATTTCAGCGCACCAGGACCATGGGAACAGGGGCGACCCCACAGTGCCTCCCTGAGGACCTCTGCCACCTCAGCGGAGACAGACACATTCCCTTTGGTAAGGGCCGCAGGGGCTCACAGGGGAGTGAGAGGCTTCTGTGAACCTCAGCGACTTCCTGAGGGTGTAAATGCCTGGTATCATGGGATGGGAAGAGCTGACTACTCCAACTTTAAGGTGTCTCGGGACACTTGCAAGGTCCGGAAAGTACCAAGGGAGTGATTCTCATCTGGTCCTGGACATTTATCAAACGTACAACCACCATATTTCCTCCACTTGCCAACCGCTGGACCTGATAAAAGCCTGCATCCTCCAGTGGGGTTCTGGTCCAGCCTTGCAGAGACCAGATTTCTCAATTCCCCATGCAAACAAAGCTGCCTCTGCAGTCACTCTGACCTCCCTGAAGCCCTCCTGATGCACCCCTTCCATCTCCCACTCCAGGCCCAGGGGTAAGCACCCGGCACTCCCACGGCCCCACACAAGTCCACTCTGCCCTGTCCTTTAATTTTTTTCCTCTAGTTTCCGGGGTGGGACTGAAATCAGGGTCTTCACAGCACACTACATTCCCAGCCCTCTTTCCTGAATTTTTTCTTTTGAGGCAGCGTTTGGCAGAATCCCTTATTTCCTCAGCCTGGGCTCGAACTAGAAACTCTCCTTCCTCGGCTTGTCAGACAGCCGGGGTTACAGGTGTGCACCCAGGCAGCCGCACTCCTCCTTCCTGGGCCAGGTTTCAGGACCTTTCTCGGAGCTGGAGAAAAGGGGAGGAAGAGTTCCAGGCCTCCACCTCCAGGCGCCACTGCAGCAGCAACAGGCCCAGGTGAGCCTAAGGCAAGCATTGGGACAGCCCTGCTTGGCGTGGGCCTGTGATTCGTCGTTCAGGCTGTTAGGGTCCCGTGTCAGCTTCTCAGCCAAGGGCTCCGGAAATCCAGAGCAGAGCCCTTTCAGAGCCGAGCCTCAGCGAGGAGCTTGCTCCACCCACTTCGCAAAAACAAACCAAAAATCCGTTCAGATTTGAACCAGCCTTTCCATCGAATGGGTCAGGGTCAAAGGTGGCCTGGAAGGACTGATAGCAAATACCGGCTCCCGGCGCTGCCACCGGGCAGGTCCTTTCCTTGCCATCCGAGCTCGGGGGCGGAGACAAACCCGCCTTCTCGCCACGTGACCCGGAGTAAACTCTGCTCTTAACCCTGAATTCCGCGCTGGGTCCTCTCACTGCCCTGTGCAGCGCACACCACAGGACTAGAAGTAAAGAGTGCTCGGGCCTGCTCGAGCCTGCACCCCTCTCTGCCTGAACCGAGTCCTGGCTGCAGGAGCGCTGCCCAGGGGAGGCCCCAGCTCTCTTGGTCCCCGGAGAGCGCGTCCGAGCACTTTCTGGCTGCGAGTGAGGGTCCCCTGTGCGCTCCTATCCGGGTGGCGCGCCTCAGTTTCCTTGGTGGCGACCCCACGACCTCCCTGACCCTTCCACCCCCACTCCCGCCTACCTGTCGCGCAGGTGTCCCACGCGCAGCCCCAGCGCCGTCACCTCGGCCTCGGGCACCGCCACTCCCTTGCAGGACTTGATCGGGTAGACCCAAAGCTGAGCCACGGTGCCCACCTGCTGCCTCTGCCGCCGTCGCCGGGGTCGTGTGCGCCAGGCCACCGCTCCCAGCGCCACCGCCGCCAGCCCCAGCACCGCGACGCCGATCCACGCGGGCCGCGCGGGCGCGGGGAGGCCAAGGCTGGAGAGCGCGCGTGAGCCGGCAGCACCCATGACCGTGAAGCGCGGCACTGGTAGGAGACTTCGCCGTGGAGCGGGGGAGGGGCTTAAGGCGCTGAGCAAGGGGCGGATCCGCGTAAAAGCCAACGGGGTGGGGACCGGACCGGACGGGGAGGAGCCAAGTGCGGGCCAGGGCGCCCCGGACTCGGTGGCCGGGCACCGAGACACCCGGAATGCGCGACTGAGCGCGCGGGACAGATGGCCAGCGCCACCAGGTGGTCACTTAAGCTCACTGCTCCTCCTCTGTCCCTGCAGCGCTACTGTTGTCCACGCGGGGCCGCCCTCCTCCCGTCCGCCAGGCTCCTGGGCCTCGACGCCAGCGTGCGCGCGACTTCTGGGAAGGGGCCAGCAAAAGGGAAGACTGGGGAACATCTGGCACAGCTGTCTGCGGCCGGAGAACGCCTCCTGAGTACTTGCAGGGTCTTGGACAAAAGACCTTCCTTTGAAATGGGGTCACAAGAAAGGACCGGCCCACACACACACACACACACACACACCCCGGCTTCGTGGAGGAGTGACCCACCTCGGGTCTCCCCACAGCCCCCAGGACGCTCCGTTACAGCTCTTGGCAAGCCAGGAGGCAAGGCTTCTTTCCAGAAAGTAGGAAAGTATTTTTCTCTTTTCTTTCCCATTGGTTTGCCCTTAGTGTCGCTCATCATGGGCACAGGTGTGACAGTGGAAAGGCATTAGGACAGTTATCAGTGGGACAGGCGAAAGCTGCGTGACGGCTCCCACACGCGGTGACCTGGTGGTGGGGGAGCGCACTTTAGGCCCCCGCTGGGCCCCATGCAGGGCTATGTCTTCAGTACCCTGAAGTTTAGTCGCTTTGCTGCCTGGCTTTTTGTTCCTTTCCTTGCTTTATTCACCATTCTGGCTCTCTGGGGAGCAGCGTTCTGCTGAGTGGCTGCCCCAGCCTCTGCCTGCCCTCTGGTGCTGGCCACGATCCAAGTCTCCTGTGGGCGGATGCCCTCAATGGCCTTTGTCTCTGGTCATCCTTAGTGAGGCTGCTTCAGTGCGCATCCCCTAAAACCACAAACCACAGGGAGGTACCTCAAGTCACCTTTCTGCCAGGTCCTCAGACACCCTCCTGGACGTCAGGAAACCTCGACCCTGTTGATGAGAGCTGTGGGCTGCGCTTTGGGGGAACACATTGGCCTCCTCTCCTGTTCAATTTGAAATCTGGACAAATCTCCTGCCTAGTGATGCCTTTAAAATTCAGGTAACTTTGAGACAAAGGTGGCCAAGGGCCCGAGCAGAACAAAGGGGCAGACTGCAGGTCAGTGCAGGGGGCCTGAATGGTGGCCTTTAAGAGGACATTTAAGAGGTGGCCTTTAAGAGGACATTTTTCTTAGGTCTCCCCTGGCCGCTACGGGGAGACCTAAGTGGCTTGGGTGCACCTGCTTCACCAGAGATGAAGGTGGAAAAGGAGCCCCCAGGAAGACACCCAGAGCTTGGCAGGCCTCTGTCCTGCAGGAGATATGCTCAGAACGACCCCTCATCTTTTTTCCTAGACCTTGTAAAGCACATGAGGAGCCTGGGAGAAACGCACATGGACACAGTGCTGTGGGAACAGTTGGGAGTCACCGCAGCTGGTCCCTCCAACTGAGCCCAAGTGCGACTCTCCATGCTTCGGGCAGACTAGACGTGAGTCTAAAATGACTGCACTTAGCATGGAATAAAAACCACACCAGGAACTGTGGTGAGCATGAAAAGGTGAGAAAGATTACACAAGGAAAGAGGAACATCCAGCTGTCTTTCATAGCTGATTTGAAGAAGCTTTCCATAAATACACGACCTTCCACGGAGGGCAGGGACTGATGGGACAACATTTATTAGCCACTCATCCCCAGATGTTCAGTGCAAACTATAAACTTCCTCAGACACGCTTGGCCCCCTGCTGGACAGCCTTTACCACACTGAGCAGTCGGGATCCTGAAGGGTGAAAAAAGAGAGGAACCAAGAACAAAGGCCAAAGTATGACTGCGCTATTCAGGGGAGACCCAAGCCAATCACAGGTCAAGTGCCCACTGTGCATGCAGTAAAGCCTGGCGCTGGGCACATGCCTGCACTGTGCCACCACCTGTGTGTCAGGTCGCCAAGGTGACAGATGCATGGCACTGCAGGGCAGCAAGGGACGAGGGCAACCAAAACCCTCGCTTCCAGCTCTGGGGGCAAACTGCAGCGCCTGTCCGGAGATCCCTGCCAGGAGCCCAGCCGGGAACCCTGGTTGTTGTGGCTAAGTTCAGTTCCTAACACACACAAGACCGCTTGGTCTGTTTTAACTTCCTCCTTGGCCAGCCACCAGCTAGATCTATACCTGGAGTCAATGGGAGCCTGGTCGGAATTCTTTACGCCTGCTTTGATGTGTCAGTTTACAGCTCAGATGTCCAACTGTGAGTTTTGAGTTGTCCCATGGGGCCCCACTCTGTTAGGAAGTAAATTACTACTGAAATTGGGGGTTGCTGGCCAATTCTGGCAAAAGCCAAAATAGATTTCACCTGGTGGGACTTTTCCAGGCCTGACCTAATTCTCCATAGGGGCTCCACAGCCTGGTTTAATGGGACACCGGGGAGACCAACTCAACAATGCCAAGAGGCATAAAACTAAAAATTCCAGCCTTAGGGTTAGTTGTAAACAGTGCTGATTGAGTATTTGTGGCACTCAACCTGAAGCGGGGAGAGAAAATGAGAGAGGTAAGGAGACAGAGGAGAGGCCTTTAATGTGGTCATGGGGGAGCCTCAGGGGGTACAGCAGCCCTCAACAAGAGCAGAGAAGTGGGACTACTCTGATCAATTTTGGCTGGGGGACGAGTTTGGGAGGTGGGCAGAATGACCATCAACTGCTGCTTTGAAGGAGCATCTGCCTGGGTAAAACAGGAGACAGAAAGGTTTATGGGGGTAGAGGCCTCGGTGCTTGTGGGGTTTTGGGATTGGAGAGGTCTCCGTGCACCTGCAAAAAGGGAGCGGGAGGTTTACCTCTGGAATGAGAAGGAGAAGTAAAGGTTACTCTTGGAGAGATAAGTTGTTTCTCTGGGTCCAGTACCAAGCTGGGTGGATGTCATGTGACAGTTAGCTAAGCCGTGGGCGAGCAGAGCCTGGCAAGTACTCTCCCTAGGAAAAGGCTGGTCACCTCAGCCACTCGGAGTCAGGCTTCTCAAACGTGACCTTCCGTGACCTTGTCAGTCCCCTTGCAGCACCCCATTCCCCCTGCAGTAAAGCTGTCAGACAACATCGGGTGATACAAGAACTCTGCCTGACTAGTGAGGCTGTGACCGGGGCCATCCCCAGTCCTCTCCCAAAGCCAGGAGACACCAATTGGTTCCTGGTCATGGACCTCAAAAATGCTTTGTTTGCTATTCGTCTCCACCCAGACTCCCAATTCCTGTTTGTCTTTCAATGGAAAAACTCTAGCTCAAAAAAATACATATGTGTCCATGTCGCTCCCGGCCGGCAGGAAGGACACACGACAAAGTCTGGCAGTGGACAACCTTTTTTTTTATTTTCCTTCTCTGTACAGCCTGCCCTGGGATCGCTCCCAGCCGAAGCCTCCTTTGGTCCGCTCCCCGCGGCTCCTTTTGGGCTTCTACTTCCGGGCTTCTTCTTCCCCCCCAGGGGTGGCACCAGTATATATACGGATACAGTGTCCAATCATGTTAAAGTAAGCAAGGCAAGCTGATTGGCTAACATCATCAGTTGCCAGGCAGACTATATTGTTGAGCGGGTTGCTTACGCGGTAAGCAGGAAACTAACGTGCTCGATGGGAGGGGTAATCTACCTCAGGCTTTACTCTTTACTACAGGCCTCACGTCCGCCAAGTGAGGCGACCGGGCTCGGGGCTGCGGCTCCCAACATCTCCCCCTTTTTTATTTTTTATGAATGTGCGCATCGTAGCCCTTCCTGGACTGGGTGCAGAGGCTTATGCCCTATGTGTAGGCCCACCGTAGGTCCTTGGCTTAGACCCTGGTCGGCCGTCCCATGGTCCGCCAAGGCCCTGAGGCCCTCGTCCTTTTTCTAGGGCCAGGCACAAACTGGACGGAACCTGGATGCACACAAGCTTGCACTCATTTTCTCTCCGTAAAGAAATCCCCTCGGAGAGAAATTTAGACCTGGGCAGCATCTAACAGTCCAGCGGCTTACGTGCAGGATGGGGTAGGGCCTGGCTTAGGTTGAGTCGCACCGGGGGAGTACGCTCTTACCCGTCATTGACTCTCCTACCCAGCTATGTCATAATTTTTTTTTTAGAGGAGGAGTGTGGGAAGCTCACCGTCCCTAGACTCGGTCGTAGGCTAGGCGAGCGAGCCATGCATATGCCTGAGGATCTTCTTGTCCATTTCGGGCTACCGCTATTTCTATTCATCTTGTTGGTTGGTCTGTGATGGATCTCCGGTAGGGCAGGTCTGATCTTCAGTCGAGGGCTTTGTCGCCCGTGTCAGTCTCTCCGGTACCCACAGTGGTTCTCGTCCCGATTCCTGTGGGAAAACACAAACCGCGCCTCGGTTCCAGCTGACCACTGGATCCGGGCCCATCCATTGTCCTGTCAGGACATCTTTCCACTTTACCCACCCTTTATGGTTGGGGGAAGGGTAGCAGTGCTCCACGGCTGGGGAGCAATTATCATTATTTAAATTTAAAAAATTGTGTGTGAATAGTGCCATGGATAATCGTGCCTTTGGGGCCAGGCCTTGGCCTACTCCCCCTTTTTGTTTTTGTAAAATTTTTTTGAGGCTTTTATGAGCCCTCTCAATGATTTTTTGACCTTGGGGATTGTATGGGATACCATGTTTTAATTGAACCTCCATCATTTTGCAGAACTCATTGAAGGCTTTGCCTATATAGGCTGGTCCATTATCAGTTTTTAATATTTTTGGTTTGCCCCGTGCGGCCCAAGCCGCCAGGCAATGATTGATCACATTAGACACTTTTTTACCTGTTTCTGCTGTTGTGAATATGACGTGAGAACAGGTGTCTGTGGAAACATGAACATATTTAAGAGTCCCAAACTCCTGTATATGTGTGATGTCCATCTGCCAAACATCACCAGGGATCAAACCTCGAGGGTTTACTCCCATCGGTATGGCAGGTTTGTATGTGGCACAGGAGTCACATAGTCGCACGATATCTCGTGTATCTGCTCTGGAAACATGGAAATGGTTTGTTAGTGTCCTGGCATTGACATGAAACTTATCATGGAAGGCACGGGCTCGCTCGATTGGTGTTAGTAAGGTAAAAATCTATAACGGGCGAGTGGCAGTATCAGCAGCCGCATTCCCCTGTGCCATGGGCCCCGGCAGGGATGTATGTGCTCTTATGTGGGTGGTGAAGACCTTATGGTGTCTGTTCTGAAGCAATGTCTGGATAGACAGGAACAGCCCAGCCACTGTGGAAGTGGATCTAATTAAACCGGCAGTCTCAAGCACTTGCATAGCATTGACCACATACCTAGAATCGGAGACAATATTAATGGCTTCTGAGAACCGTTTAAGAATCATTTTAACGATCTGCAGTTCCACCACCTGAGGCTGATCAGGTTCAAATTGTATGGTAACCGGGGGCTTGCCTAGGATCACATAGGCGCCTATCCCCGTCTTGGAGCCATCTGTGTATATTGTAGTTGCTGGGACTAATGGCTCAGAGGCAGTAACCTTTGGAAAAATTATAGGGTGCTGAGTGACAAATGACAAGATAGGGTCTTTAGGGTATTGATTGTTTATATCCCCATGGAAAACACATCTCAGAATGGCCCACGTATCTATGCAGGCAGCCAGGGTCTTGATCTGGCTGGCGGTATAGGGTACTCGGATGGCTTGTGGTCCTGAGCCAAAATGTTGGACAGCTCTATCATGCGCTTCAAGGGCCAATGAAGCGACTGCCTCCGGGTAATGCTCTATGACTTTTGCAGGTGAGACCTTAGGGTGTATCCACAGTAATGGTCCTTTCTGCCAAATCACCGCTGTGGGCTGTAGACTAGTCTGTAGCAAACAGACATCAAAGGGTCGCCCTGGTTCAATTCTGTGTAAGGTAGCCCCACCTAAGGCTTTTTCCACTCTCTGTAAGGCAGCTCTTGCCTCAGGAGTGAGCCTCCTGTGGGAGGCTATATCTGGGTCTCCCTTCAGAAGGTCGAACAGGGGTTTGAGATCTGAATTTGGTATATGTAAATATGGCCTAATCCAATTAATGTCTCCCAATAGCTTTTGCATGTCATTTAGGGTCCTAACGCCATCCGTCCTAATGGTGACCTTCTGTGGAGAGACTAGCATAGGGGAGATTTTCGCGCCTAAGTAGGTCACCATTTCTCCTCCCTGAATCTTGTCGGGGGCAACATGCAGATTAGCTTGTCTCAGGGCCTTGACCAACTGGCCGAGCATATTATTTAGCATGTCTGGGTCCCTGCCGCTGAGTAAAAGGTCGTCCATGTAATGCACACATCTTATCTTGGGAAAGGATTTCCGTAGGGGGGCCAGTAGGGAATCAAGGTAAATCTGACACATAGTGGGACTGTTGGCCATACCTTGGGGCAGCGTTATCCACTCGTATCTGAGATCAGGGCTTTCTTGGTTAATGGTGGGTAAAGTAAAGGCGAACCTATGAGTGTCCTCTGGATGCAGGGGGATTGAGAAGAAACAGTCTCTAAGATCTATAACATAAACTGGCCAGGACTGAGGGATGGCTGAGAGAGCTGGCAGCCCCCTCTGGACCGCCCCCAGGGACTGCATCTGCGCGTTGACCGCCCTTAGATC